GCCAGAACTTGGCATGGCAGAACTTGGCATGGCAGAACTTGGCAGAGTCTGCACAAGCTATCGTAACACAAAGACGAGCTGTCATTGGTCGGGTCGGGGCGGGGCGGGGCTATCTCATATATTTCGCACTCGTCAGATATTTCGCGCGACACCGGGTATACCTACCCCTGCCCATTTTTGAGCGTGTATGTTTGGCCGAAATAAATTATCTTGGCTGGCACCCCTACCAGCGAGGCGAGCGCCATTCGTATGTACACGAGTATAGGAAAGGGATTGTGGCGGGATGCTGCGGCTGAAAAGCGTGTGTGTACAATGCAATGATTGATGTAGGAGATAGCGCTGTATTACTGCATTCATGATAATTCTGCGGGATAATCAGCTCGTAACTTATTTATAACGATGTAGTATTGTGTGGAAATGTCGAGCTGCTTTGATGAATCCATCCCAAGGTCCTTAACTGAACATTCTGGGTTTTTTCATACCTTGCATCGCAATGCGTGTACTACACACGGTCTTACCCAGTGTACACATTATAAACCATGTATCCACCATACACATTGAATTAAATACATTGAACATCAGCGTACAGTTATTCATGCAACGCTTCATTTAATGCATCATAGTCACACTTCGAACAGTTGTGCATCGTAACATCGCACGCTTATTCCACCGGCAAATAGAATAAGCAGCACCACCATATGTACATGACTACCAGTGAAAAATAATTCGCTTTTATTCAAAAAAACAAACAAAAAACGTCCCAATTTAACTTCTCAGGTTGGGAACGATACCTAACAATAAATCATTAGGGGAGAAAGTTACGCACACGTAGTCGATTAGTCTATTCCATCAAACAAAAAGATTAAGTGTACACGTACAAGCACAACTACGAAAAAAACAAAAAGAGCATTGGTTATTGATAATTGCCGAACAGCAGCCATCCTGCCGACCTCGACGTTAAATATGAAATCGTAGATCGCGCCATTATCGTCGAATCATTGCGGCGCCGATGTCTCGGCGGGCGATCAACTCGAACTGAGGAGGTCGCTGGGGATGTGTCCGGAGTCGCCGAGGGCCCTGAGAGTGACGCGCCCGCTCGGACGTATCGCGATCCACGTCAGGCTGCAGTTGTTCAGGCTGATGCGAAGCCAGGCTTCCGGCGGAAACTGCAACGCCCTGCAAGACACAATTACAGGTAGGGGTGTAACGATTAACCATGATTCAACTGTATCGCGCGGTACATCCGGTTCGGTTCGGTTTTCGTTTGTTTTTTTCCGATTCGGTTCTCGGTTCGGTTCCAGGAAATAAATTCAACCCACTCAGTTAGGGGGGCACACACGGCGAGCAACCAGCTCAGCACTTAAAATGTATAATATTATGATAGGTATTATTATTATTATTCAAAATGAAGGGAAAATTTCCCCATCTTTTCAGCATATTTACTACTGAAAATAACCGAACCGAATGAACCGAACCGAAGAGCAAAAACCGAAAACCGAACCGAACCGAAAAAAAATCGTATCGTTACACCCCTAATTACAGGTTCGCAGATTCCAGCGGACACAGGTAGGGTCGCTGTAATGGCGGCAACGAGCTAATTTAAACGCTCGTTTTCTGTTAGTGGGTAGAAATTACGCAACGCCTTTCAAGACGTTAACTGGGTTGTTTGAAAAGTCAAACAGATGGAGGGAGAGTCCCCGTAAAAGAGAAAATGACGCTGTAGATTCAACACTTGTTCTCCTTTAAAGTGCGTTGAAATTACGCAATGTGGAAGCACTGTTGCATTGGTTCATTTCGACAGATCGCGAATCGACCGCCGTCAAAGATCGTCGAGGGTTAGCGAACGGAAATCGAGGATCTTTCTGTAGAAAAAAGTAGAGTAAAAAAAGTTTATTGTCGCTGGGTCAGTTGTCAGATCGCTACTCGTGCCGCTGCGACGACGGCCGGCCGCACGCGTGCGTACGTACTGGCACACCCAGTAATAAGAACTCTAGATTTAAAGCTCGTTCTCCGTTGAAGTTGGTCCAAATTACGCAATATTGCGCGACATTGTTGCATTGGTTCATTTTGACGAATCGCGAATCGACTGCCGTCGCGCGACGCCACGTGGCCGCGTCTGCGTGCGTACGTACCTGCACACCCAGTATCGTATGACGTTGGCGTGGCAGACGACGATCTCGTAGCTGTCCTGCTTCTGCTCCGGTTCGGCGCGGTGGAAGTACTTGCGGAACGCAGCCTCGATCCTCACTCCGTCCTCGAAGAACTGCTAGATGATAGAAAAGAGCATCCGTCGAAATGAGACCGGCCTCGGTTACGAGGACAAGATGCAGACGAACGCACACGTGCGCCGCACTTTTTATTAAACAGTCGTTTATTGCGAGCCGCGGAAATCACAACCCGGTTAAATATTACCATTGCAACAGTTGGTATTATCATGTATAATAATATTATTACATATATTTATATTCTGTATCTATAATATTATCAATTATTATTATTATATTATATTATTATATACATTATCACTATTACACGCATTATAGATAATAATTAATAATTACATAATAATATATAATTATTATTATTATTATCATACATTATCGGTCACCTCACCCCATTAACCCCGTACCTGAGCTTCGGGCCTCCAGTGCCCCACAGGGGGCTCCGGAGGATGGCGCGCCTCGCGCAGTCATAATCACCGTGCTCGGTCACGGTCGTCAGGTGCTTGCGGACAATGTCTGCTGCATTGCGTCGTGCCGTTATCGTCGATATGATTAGAGGATCGTCCTAGTGGGAAGTTGAGGCTCGCTTTCAGGTCGCTTCGTCCGTTTCCTCCGCCTGCTGACACCTGCGGGGAGAGAGAGAGAGAGAGAGAGATGATGGAGAGGGGTGGGGGAGAGGAGAG